TATATGAAAATAATGCTATTATTGTGTAATGTTGTATTTAATAAAATGAAATATAAATAATTCTTGGTATTTAAAAATCAAACAGATAAGCATTACCTATATACAGGGTGGGCCATTAGTGTGAGTAAGTAAAATAACTCCCTTGTTACTCATAATACAGAAAAAAAGTTTATATAAAAGTTGTACAGAATCAAGAAACCTAAACTACAAAATTAATTTGAAACATTTGAAGAATTTTCTACATAACTTGGCAACCCTTCACTAAAATGTTAAACTGTTTATATTACCATATACAGAATTTTCTCAGAAATCCATATGTTTATAAATATACAGGGTATTTCATTTAAAAAATGTAATATTTGGCGTATCCCGTTTTTACTAATCGCCTTGTTATATTTCAAATTAATTTTGTCCTTTAGGTTTTTTGATTCTGTACCACTTTTATATAAACTTTTTTTCTGTATTATGAATAACAAAGGAATTATTTTACATTCCCACACTAATGGCCACCCTGTATATTAAAAACTATGTTTATTAATTATTACCTAAGAATCGACAGAAATCTACACATCAATAACATATTACTTTTGTTATTTTTACATAGATATTATTATGTCTCTAGTTACTTAACGTACATCTTGCTGTTAAATTACTAAATTCATAAACATCTAGGTTAGGTTAGTAATTTAATCGTAGTAACAATTTCTAAAAAAATATTTGCTACATCTATAATATAGTATAATAAAATTAATATTCAAGAATACAAAACTATTATCTACATATAAAATTTCACTTTGTAAACACTTTTTTTCTCCAAAATAAACAAACGAATCAAGGAATTTCTTTGATTGATGCAGATATCTGCCAATTTTAATCCTTTCCATCGCTCGATTGATCGATGCTATCACAAGGGAACGAGATGCGCATGCAAACCAAACGAAGCGCTCGCGCGCACGTCGCTATACGGACGTGTTCTATTCAAAAATTTCCCGCGCGGAAATTACCGCACAAATGCGGGAATTCCGCAGGTCTCATTGACATGCGGGAATTCGCTGGAATGCTGTAACGCGGAATGCGGGATTGCAAACCCTAGTGATTACACAAAAAATAGTAGGTAACTTAAAAACTAGAAGAGATAGGTATAAGGAACTCTGATACCGTTCGAAAGAGAAAAAAATTATGTATCAGAATATAGAAAAAAACATACAGGGTGTTCGATTTAAAAAAATCTACTTATGAAGGTTTGAAGTTAACTAAACTCGGCATTAAATTTCTAGCACCCTGTATGCAATTAAGCCACTTTGAAAGTATGGATGGGAAGCTTAGGGGTCTAGCTATCCCCTCTATAAATATTGTTGCTTTATCTTTCTTACTATAAAATACACATGGTTTAGAAGGTAGTCACTGTTTCTCTCCATTTTTATGAAGAAAATTAAATATCTCGAAAACGATTAATTTTAGGAATAAGGAAACTTCATAAAAGTCCACCTAAAATAACACGTAGAATCCAAAATTGCAATAATATATAGGGTGTACCATTTAAACTAAGCAAGTTGATGACGACATCCGGTATAACCGCAAGTGATACGTGGACGCCATTATTTTAGTTGAGAAGGGCATGTCCGAAAACCCGGTATCCCAAATTTTCAAAATTCAAATCGAAGTAGTCTGAAATAATTCTAATGGGCCGTCACCGTGAGACACCCTGTATAGATAATGTGTGTTGTACCTATCTAACTACCAAATACTCTTATTAAAGTGATGTGTAATAGTGGATCTTCTAAAAAAATATGGCCTACATCCACAGTAACAGTTGTCTAACCCAACATCAGAACAACAAAGTGACCCCACAAAGAATAGTAAAAGAATATGTTTCCCTTCACTTGCGATCCTCAAACAAATTACCAACAGCTGCCTTCAAATCCACTGGCCCCAGTTCTTTTCAGCATTTCGCAACATTTACTTTTAAATGTTACGATAAATGCACTGATTTTTTCATTTCAAAATACTGTCATTTGCAGGTAATCAAAACCAATGAAACACGAGGTTGCGAAAAAGAATCATAATCTGGTTCGTAACATTCAAAAATTCTTCGTCCTGGTTCCCCACATGGCCTAGAAAAAATTCCATCGCTGCCTCAATGTTAATGTAAATTTCCACTCATCCGAAATTCGTTGCGAAATCGTCGAATTCACTGATTATCCGGGTTATTTAGTAGATTAACTTTTACAAGGCGAAGATGACTCAAGTTTGAAAAGGAATACGGAGTGTTGTAATTCATGTGGACGTTGCAAAAAGTCCCAAATGTTGCGTTGATTGCAACACTGGTTAGTTTCTTTCAAATGCCTTTTAAGTGAGGTGTTTCATCAAGTATTTTTAATGCAACGATTGGGAAATAAAATGTAAAGTTACAACTACGTATTAATTTATAGGTATATTTAATAACATCATGATTAAGAAAAAAATTAAAAATTCTTAGGTTGCAGTATAACGAACGACCTAAATATAAAGTTGTACCCATCCATGAACAGCCCTCGTCTGAAGGAACTACCTGATAAAAATGTTGTAAAAAATCAATGTTAGAAAAAACTATGAAATCGAAGATAGAATAATAGTTCAGTTCAAGATCCTCTCAAGTTTCCCAAACCGGCAACGTTTCTTGCACCATCATTGTAATTGGTGTTGCAGTCTCTATCGATTTTAAAACAAACTAAATATAGTAACCATAGACTTAATAAACTACTGGACTGGACCAACTGTCATTTTGCCAATATAAACGCAATCGCACAATTGTGTGCGAGAGAGATAGAGCTAGTGGGGGCTAATACTTCGTTTACAGAACTTCGACTGTAGCGCGCTACACTTAATTAAACCAATCAGCTAACTATACTCGATTTCTTACCCCTTTTTTCTGTTGGACCGTATTCCCGCTTGAAGTTAAAATGGTTGTAACTACATTTATGTGTGGTGGATACACTTTGTGAAAATATGGTTAAGTTAAAAATTTTTAAAAACTGTTGATTAGATTCATGTTATCTTTTAATTAATAAGACGACTAATTTGTGATCTACAAAGACTTTATAAAAATAATATTGAGACTAGAAAACAAAAAAATTTCAACTGCATTAAAAATGTGTAGATATATATTAATTATATGAGTAAAACTACATTTATGGTATTAAGAATTAGGTACAATACTCAAAGTAACAAAATTACTAAAATGCATATATTTACTGATAATTTTGTCAATATTCTTTGTATTAACTCAAACCGAATTAAAACTCGATTTCTATTCCCTCAACAATAGGTATTTGTACGAGTAATTTTAATTAATTATTATTAATCAATAAGAATGTACGTAGTATACCTATGTAAAAAGGTTTATTATCTTATTGTACTAACTACAGTACAATAGGTACTTGAATTGTTTTAGCTGTAATATTCCAAATAGTTTTTATAATGTCTTCTTTATGTATTTCTCCATTTAATTCGCATATTGTAATCTCGATCAGTTAAAATACTACAAGTTCTTCTGACGTAGTTATTTCAAATAGTTCATATTTTTTTGTTTGCAAAACTGTATAAATTGAAACTATATCCATGCTATTTCATGAAATTTCACGCTTTTTTATGCGCAATCAAGCAGATAGACGTTACAACCAAGCAGTCGGCAAGAATACTCTTTCTATGATTCCTAATAAGATTGCACAGTTTTTGAAACTAGAACATCCTGAAACATATACAGACCATTCATTCCGAAGAACATCGGCAACGTTACTGGCTAATACAGGAGTAGATGTATTAGCAATCAAGAGACATAGTGGGTGGAAATCAGCCACAATTGCAGGAAGTTATGTTGCTGACACTTTAAGTAACAAGAATAAAATAGCCAACAGGATTCTTTACAATGACACTTCAATTCCAGCTTCTAGTAGTACGTCGAATCATGCTGTGTTAATGGATCATTTTGAGAAAAATGTAACAATTAGTAAACGCGAGAGGAATAATTATCCAGATTTTACAAATGTTACTAAATGTAGTAACTGTACAATGACTATAAATATTCATTCATATTAATTAATAAAATGTTCGTCAAATATTTCTATTTATTTGTGCATAAAATATATTTTTATTGTTTAAATTAAAATAATAAATAATAGGGCATTTTATTATATTTGTAATCGGATCGAAGGCTTGTTTACGATACGAGAGTTTTTAGGACGTAGAATAATTTAGGCGACGGTCGGAATTATGTTTCTGCGCATATGAAGGTCAAAGCTCATAAGATTTTGAAACACCTCTACCTCCCGTTGTCCACGGCAACTTCCAGCTCTACGGTAAAATCCACTTACCTCTTTAAAAACAATGTATTAATAGTCTATTTACTATAGTGGGAGCAGATAAATAATATAATCTAATTAGTTATCATCAGAGACAGCTCTACTTGGTCATTATTTTCAGAAAAATGCGAAAACTTTAAACATATTGATACTAACCTCTTTCCTACCTATGAAATTGAATTTTTTCTACACTTAAACGTTTCTTTATGCAATTGTTGACTGAACACGATTGAGCCATATTTAGTTTTCACAAATATTTCACATACACTAAATCACATACAAAAATTTAAGAACTTTTACATTACTTTTACTCCAAGGTTTGTTTATGGTTTTTTGTACCGATATACCAGTGTACCATTATTTGTTTCACCGGTATTTGCCTGCACTAGCTTCACCTGCCTTGCACACAGCAACGCGATTGATCTCTCTTTCTAGGGCCAGTCCATAGTTTACTAGGTCTAAGGTAGTAACCTTGAAATGTATGCAGCACGATATACATCTACGTGTAACAAGTTTAAGTACACAGTAGGAAATGTAATACTCTAATATGATTATTGTAATTACAGTTTATTGTGTGGTCTTAAACATTAAATGTTAAAGAAAGTACTGCGTAAAAAGTTATGAAAAACATATACAAGTAGGTAAAAGGAAACAAATGCAAAATAATATAAAACTTTATTGTCTAAACATATAATACAACCAATACAAAATATTAAGTATATAAAAACTTGGCCTAAGGAAACAATGTACAAAAAATTACAAAAAGGGCACCTACGCCATTTTAACAAGCCTAAAAATGTCATTAATAATTTGACACGGTCAAATTTGAAACATTCCCGAAATATCCAAGAAATTCATAGCCTTAACGTCATTAAATCGACACAACAATTCCTAAAAATTAACTATAACCGACATGACTCCATGTCGCCACACATAACCTCAAACATTTCGACAGGCAAACGTCTTCTGACAGTTGACAGTCGAATATTCGAGGTTACGTTCCTTTCACCGAATTCATTCGACTCATAAAAGCAAGGCCGAAAGTCTTATTTTATTTTACGTATTGCAAATATCCGGACCTTCTAATTATTTGTACTTATATACATTCACACAGCACCTCATGTTCCGAACAACACCTAAATAACGTCTAATTAGTTAGTTAAAAATCTATACATGAGCAAATTATCTTCTTAATAGTCTAAGTGTAGGGAATTCAAGGATGATCTTTACAGTTGACAACAGTTCACATCTGATGCGAAATATCCTGAAGGGAAACAGTTGGGGTTTCTACAAATGCCAATCATAAAGATGAAGACCCTGTATATATTTGGTTTAAGGATAACAGGGGAAGGATAAGAAGTACATAGAACGGGCGATAATTTTGGATGGGTAAGAATTTAGCAATAAATTAATTTTAATTTAGTAGACTGGCGCGAAATTTGAAAAACTAACCTAAACGAGTCTACCAACCCACGGAATAAGTCGCTCCCCTAACTTGTATTTCGTTGTTTTATTATACACATGTACATTTATATCAAAAATATGTCCATCAAATTTTGCGTTTTGAAAACCCGAAAAGAATTTCTACAAGGAAAACCGAACGCTCAGTATTTGGGCACGTTGCTCATGGGGACGTCTTTCGTTTTGTTGGTTTGACTGATGTGGCCAGGCGCGAGGTGCAGCGAGCTGAGTCTGTTGGCCCCCCTGACGAGTCGCCATATGGCTATGACCAGGAGCACGGCGCCCAACCCGAAGAGGATGCCGGCTATGGTCGCCCTCGCGATCGGCGGAACTGTGGTCGCCAGGCCCATCAAGTTGGTCATTTCCGCTGGTAGAGATTCCAGACCCTACAAAAAAGGATAAATGTACTCTGGAACATTGAAAACCTAGGGGCGGATGTCCAAAATTACTATAAAATTTGAAATGGTAAATGTTTCATTAGCACTGGCAGAATTATATCGATTTTTTTGTAAATGTCACTTCGACGACTGCCATAATTGAACCAATGCATTATTATTAAAAATTCTTAAACAATCATTAGTAGGCAAAAGATAATGTAAATAAACGGCTGTAGTTGAAGTTAACATCGTTGGTCTTAAAAATGTAAATTAAAATATCGTTGTCCGGCTTTGTGGTGGCACTAAACAATCTAATACGAAGATCATCCAAAGTATTCAGTCAAGAATGAACCTCAATGCACCGTAGTATATCAATAATAAAACATCCCATAAGGATTTAGCTATATCGTTGGAAGACGATATCTGTAGAATCACCAGAAAATATACAGACGCACCATCAAAACGAAAATTCCAGACAGATGAATTGTTCCTCCCAAATTGCAAGAAGATTAAAGCTGGCTAATAATACTTTGGATAAAGAAAGTTCTGTTCAGTCGATAGGTATTAATACCTTTGGGAAAACACCAAGGGAAACTGCTGATCCTTGGGTTGCTCATTATACAAGACGGTCAAGAGAGGAAATATTAAAGAGGCATGGTGTCATCGACAGTACAGTGGTAGAATCTTACGCAGAATAATCAGTTGAATACAAAATTAGGATATCAAATCAAATTTTGCGTACAGAAATACTCAAGGATGCAAACACAATGTCATTTCCGCCACCATAGTAGTCTACTACATCGAGATATGAGTCGAATTGAATTTTTGAATTGTGTTTAAAATAAATAATGATAATACGATATACAGGGTGTAACTAAATAAGTGTAAAACATTTAAGGGGGTGATTCTTCATCGAAAAAAAGATAGGATCTTTCATATAAAGAAACTTCATTGGAGCATCCCTTGTTAAGATACAGCCCCTTAAAGGGGGTACATAAAATTTGTTTAACAATTTTTTTCACAAGCACTAAACAAGTTACAATATTGAAATTAACCTGACATTTTCTACTACCAAAAAGACACTTAGCCAGTAATTTATTTGGTTTACCCCATGGTAGTAAGGGGTGGAAAACGCAACCCCTAAAATTTATTTCCAACGTAATTTTTTGTCTTATTATTTTTTTACCATTTAAAAAATTATTTCCGATAGCCTGTTTCATTCTAAAAAAAAATGTCTCTTGAATTTTTTGCCCAAATTAAACCAGTTCGCAGTAAAAAATTATTTTACGAACAACTACAGAGATACATCGTCATAAATGCGGACTGGATTTACTGTTATTTTGTAGTTACTACCTGCATTAAATGATTAAAGGGGAATAATCAAAACTAATTTAATAATAACAAAACATACAACATGTAGAAATCATAGTAAATGTTCAATATGTCTACCTTCAGACATTACGCATGCGTCTAGACGTCGGCGCATTGAGCCACGTATTCGCTCAAATATTCCTGGAGTCTCTCTAATTACCCTGCACGCATCGATAATGCGGTTTCTTAAGTCCTCTACATCGCGAACAGGAGTACGATAAACCAAATGCTGCAAATGGCCCCAAGTAGACAAATCCAGAGGATTGAGATCCGGGGATCGAGCGGGCCAATTCTGTGGTCCTCCTCGACCTATCCACTGATTTGCATATGTTTCAGTTAAATGCTGACGTGCTACTTGACTAAAATGGGCGGGAGCCCCATCATGCATAAAAACCATATCCCTTCTGACGCCCAAAGGAACTTCCTCCAGCAGTACGGGGGGATGCACTTTTCTTAAAAATTGAACGTATGCCTCACCATTTAATCGAGGAGGTAGAAAATGAGGCCCAATTAAATAATCCCCAATAACTCCGACCCACACCTTAAGAGAAAACTGTTCTTGATGGTTAGTTTCGACAATAGCGTGATGGTTTTCATCAGCCCATATGTGGTAATTATGAAAATTAATAATCTTGTCCCGAGAAAAACTACATTCGTCTGTGAATTCGATCGTCTTCAGAAAGTCACGATTTCTTCTAATCATTTCCAGCATCCAATTGCAAAATTCAAGACGGTTCGGAAAGTCTCGCGGTAACAGTGCCTGTACTCGTTGCAGATGGTAAGGGTATAAGAGATGTTCCTTTAAAATTCGAAATACCGTCATATGATCAACATTTAGCTGGAAAGCAATCTTTCTAGTACTGGTAGTAGGTTGTTCTTCTATCAAATTAAGTACTGCTGCCTCAAGCTGTGGTGTTCTTACTTCTCGATGGCGACCACAATCCTGCGTTCTTTTGTTGAATGAACCATATTCACGTAATCGTTGATGAAGTCAGACAAATATTCTATGTGAAGGATGCTGCCGTTGAGGATACATTTCAGCATATCTTGTAGAAGCTTCTAACCCATTCCCCTGCGACAGACCGTAAACGTAATGCATATCAGCCATTTCCTCATTTGTGTATGCCATTTTAATAACAAGTGAATTATTAAAGTAACAAATTAAGAACAGAACAATACACAATTAGTATTACTTCAATTTCAAAAATTTACAAACTGACAGCTTGATTCCAATTTAATTGTCAGTATCGCTAATGGCGGCCTACTAGATAAATTAGTTTCGTATTTTCGTTTTATGGCGATATGTATCTTGTTCGTAAAATAATTTTTTGCTGCGAACTGGTTTAATTTGGGCAAAAAATTCAAGAGACATTTTTTTTTAGAATGAAACAGGCTATCGGAAATAAATTTTTAAATGGTAAAAAAATAATAAGACAAAAAATTACGTTGGAAATAAATTTTAGGGGTTGCGTTTTCCACCCCTTACAACCATGGGGTAAACCAAATAAATTACTGGCTAAGTGTCTTTTTGGTAGTAGAAAATGTCAGGTTAATTTCAATATTGTAACTTGTTTAGTGCTTGTGAAAAAAATTGTTAAACAAATTTTATGTACCCCCTTTAAGGGGCTGTATCTTAACAAGGGATGCTCCAATGAAGTTTCTTTATATGAAAGATCCTATCTTTTTTTCGATGAGGAATCACCCCCTTAAATGTTTTACACTTATTTAGTTACACCCTGTATAGAAATTATGGTACTATAATAGAAATTGAAATAATAACAAAGGACAACAAAAAAAAAATTGAAAATTAAATAAATTAAAATGCCTAAAAAATATACAAAAAAACGAAACTATATCTGTTGTTCTCACTTCAACTGACCTATATGAAAGTTTTCCTCAATTTCTTGGAAGCGAAAATCTTGAAGCAAATCTTTTGAATTTATTGTCTTAGAATGCGAAAGACCTTTGGTTTCACATTATTTTTAGATTAAGTGTATTTCAAAACATAAATCTTATTCGAGATGCCTCAAGGATCTATTCTCGGCCCCTTTTCATAAAAGAAATATTACATTTCACGTCTTTCAAAGCACATAGTTCTCAGGAGACCAGGGGTTCCGCAAGGTACCACTTTGGGCCCCTTGAAACTTCCAACTTATACAAGCATACGTTTGATTTACTCACCTCCTCGAACCAAATGATGGGGAAAATGATATCCGGGAAGGTGGCCACCTGCTTGATGTCGATCACCTGCGAGACAGCAAGGTTGACTTGGACTCTGGCCTTGGCGGACATCGCGGTACCCATAATCTGGAATAGGAATAACGTAAACTCTAATAAAATCACTGGGACGCATACGAAACCTTGTTTGTGCTTAAAAACGACTATTTGATACTTACAGGCTGGACGTCGATGTAGAAGTTGTGCTTTTCTGGATCTGGAGGGGAAATGCCCTCGAAGGCGGTCCTATAACTGTCGTTTGCGAGGTAGAAGTGAGGGAAGGACAGAAGAATCGGCGAGTCTGAAACAAGAGAACCCCGTCAAACAACTGTTTTTTCAAAAAAAAACATTGTTTTCTAATATAATATCCAACGGGACAATATCTCAATGACAGGATATGGTGAAAACAGGAAAGTAATACCTAAATAACAAAAGCAGACTTGGTTATTAAACAAATATGTTCATCAAACGATTATTTAACATCAAACGTTACACCAGTCAGTAAATTGCGTAACTGTATTTAAGAAAGATTAACCAATTTTGTAATCAAAATTTGGAGTCAACTATAAGATATAATTTTACATTTAACTACATTATTATTTGAACACCAACTATCCAACTTGTCAGGATTATTAGTAGTTTTGTGGAATCCATTGAAGATTTAACTACCAAAACAACATAAACTCGTCCGCATACAGTATGTAATTGACACCAAAACATTGTGTGAAATCATTAATGAAAATAACAAACAACGGTGGCCCCATAATTGATCCTTGGGAGACCTCTGAATATCGATGTAAGTTATCTGTTTGGAAGCCACAGTTCTGGTATCTGTTATGAAATAAGAATGAAACAAAGACATAATGGGATATGATTTCAACATAAATAATAAATTATAATCAATTGAATGCTTTAATAAAAAATTGTATACACATTAATCCGATTTCCCATACCCAAAGCTTCAGCAATAAATTGGGTTTTCTCAACAAGATTTGAGGTAGTAGAATAACATTCATCTGTGTTGGTACGGAGATATCACTTTTTCAACATTAAAATACAATCCACCTTGTAAAATTATTTGAAGAATTTTAGAAAAGGTGCTTGTAACGGTTACAGACAGGTAGTTAATTATGTCGTCCTTAGTATCTTTTTTATAAACGGGACATATTTGTGGCACTTTCCATAAACAAGGATTTTCCTCGAATTATAGAATTAATTTGCTTTACAATCTGTCATTAAAAATGCTGGAATAAAATCATAAAAATCAAGATGATTAGAGTCAACACAGAACAAAGTGAAGTGGGTGTATTACTATTTTGATTGTAGATAAAAATGATTCGGGAAAATAATTTGTAAAAGCATTTACAATATCAGAGGGATTATTTATCTGTAAATCAATGGAATACAGGTAGAATCTAGGAAAAATTTGATTTTGAAGATTTTAACACCAAAATAATATAGGATTTGACTTGATACGACTATAAATGTAGGATGATGATCACTCTCTTTCGAAAGAGAGAAAATCTCTTCTAGAAATGACACATGATCTCCAAAATTCCTACAAATAAAATCAGGAATACTATAACTTTTACTTAAAACCTGATTCTATAACGTTGATTCTTACCGTATTGGCATAGAGAAACGTTGAAGAATCCAGAGGGAGCACACGGAGGTCCCTGCGGGCAGAAACAGGCGTTGTCTGGATTCTCTTCCACGCTCCCGAAGACGTTTTTGGGAGGTGTAAATCTGTAGGCTGGAATATCGCTGCTGGCAACCACTTCCTTGTCAAAACTTGAAAGAAAAACAAATTCATAACGTTAAAAACCCATTTGGTAACGCATATTTCATTAATCTAATTCCGGGTTGCCGTATAGGGGTTCCCTGGGGCACACCATTCTGAAACACTTACACTAGAGGCAATCTCCTGCAGAGATCCTTGTCGAATATGTGGATGGTCGTGTTTTTGGTCATGTGGGGAGGGAAAATGGAACCGTCAGATCCCTCCACGCTGTTGCACTGGTCAGTGGTGTAGTGGGACAGATTCGATTTCCCGTTCCACTTGTCTATGAGACCGTATTTGGTGATGTCGCTGGCGCCGGTGAAGACAGTCAGCCTGTCCTGGGAGGTGCCGTTTTTCTAAAAATTATAAAAAAAGATGAAAAAAATATGTTTGCTTATAATAGTTTTAAACAATTTAGAAAAATTACAGACCGACACAGTGGATTTAACAAAAAAGGTTGTAGAGTAATGCGCAAAGTCATTAACAATATTCCGCGGATCCTTTAACAAAAAGAGAAGACTTCCTTCGTCATCATCACCACTTTTAGTGATACTTACGTTATACATGAGTCCGAATTCCTCGTAAGGCAGCTTCTGCTCCTTGGGCACGACATCCTTGGCGAGCTTCAGCAGGGGGTCCTCGTAACCCCAGAGCAACTGTCCTACGGAGACCTCCACGAAGGGCTTGATCTTCAGGATGTCCATGATGCTCGCCATGGCCAGCCTGAGGAACCTGGCTGCATGTTTGGACTGCGACGTAGCGCTCTAGATGGTAAAATAGTAAAATGTTTGTTTAAAAAATTACAGCGCATCACTGGGGGTTCCGTTTGAAACTCTCCAGCTCGCGAAACACTTTACGTATTCCAACGAAGTAAATACTTCTTCTACTCTACTTCTACTCTACTACTACTACTACCTCTACCTCTACCTACTCTCTACCTCTACCTACCTACTACCTACCTACTCTACCTCTACTCTACTACCTCTACTCTACTCTACTTCTTCTACTTCTAATTCTTGACAAACATGTGATGGCAAAACTATTGGTCGAAAAGTGTCGGCGATTATTGTCTGGTCCGTTTCGACCAATAGTTTTACAGCTACGTGTTTATCACGCGTATGTCATATTTCATTATTGTTTACTTCGTTGGAATATGTAAAGTGAACGAAGAATAGGTTCCATGAAATGTAATAATATAGTGCTGCTGATTTATGTGGCGCTGCAATATCTATCGAGGATCGAAGCTTTATACAGTGGTCCACTCGAGAATAATTAAATTTTAAGCAATTTTTGAAATATAAATCTTTTTCGGAAAATTTCTAGTTTTTGAAACATTTGTACATAAAATAAAAATTAAGGTAACTTCCAAAGGACAAACAATAGAAAGCTTTCACGCAGCCAACTTGATGACCAACATTACGAAAATTAACTACCAGAAACGATATCAGTGAACATCAATATGTATTATTACGCACAAGTACCGGTGAAATTTCCCCACACTTTCACTTTTGGCAATAGCCTTTATGTAATCGGTATCAGTTTGATAAGTGGTATGCCTCACATCGCGTACGTAACTGGTTTCTTGGAGAAATTCGCACCGCAATAAATTTTGCAACCTCCGCGACAATTATATTATCATTTCATACTTCGCGGAACAATCACAAATGCAAAGGTCTGTGCCTGTTCAGTCGAAACGTCGAGAGATACAGTTTGAATTGGAAAATATGTAACCTCGCGAATCAATGAAATAAAATTAATCCAAAATTAGAAAATTTGAAAATTATTCTGTGCCAAGGATCCATCCCCGGTCTTAAACTAGAATTCCCAATTCGAAAAATTGCATACATAGGGTGTCACGTTTTTACTTAAAAAATTTGGATAGGAGGGAGTGAATTTCTCTTGAAAAAATAGTGGGGAGTAGCTCCGAGATAAAGGGTGTTGTAATTGCTACTTTCAAGATAATTTTTCTTATTATCCTTTAAATCGAGTAAATATAATGATTTCAAAACGTGTAAGGGTAGTTTGAGCGAAATACATAGGGTGCCACGTTTTTACTTAAAAAACGTCGAGGGGAGGGAGTGAATTTCTCTTGAAAAAATAGTGGGGAGTAGCTCCGAGATAAAGGGTGTTGTAATTGCTACTTTCAAGATAATTTTTTTTATTATCTTTTAAATAGAGTAAATATAATGATTTCAAAACGTGTAAGGGTAGTTTGAGCGATATAATTCAAGAAAAAATATGTTGAAAGTCAAGATTTATTGAATATCTTAATGGATTTGCAAACCCCATACAAAAAAAGTATTTTATTTGAAAATCGGTGAGATTTGTTCACAGAAAAAGGCAGCATTACATAAACAATACATTGTGGTTAAAACTGCCATATTTATTACTGCCGGAAATTTCTGGCAAAGCATGTTTTAAAAAAATTAGATACAGAACACCATTTAAATGTGGCGGCAGCTCAACAGGCCTAATAAACGATCACCAATAGTTCCAACCCAAACAACATTGAATATACAGGGTGTCTCAGGTTTAAATAGCAGGACTTCAGAAGGCTTTAGGAGACCTCATTTTAAGACTAGAAGTTCCTATATATATGGGTCTTAAAACGCTTCGTTTCTGAGATACAGGGCATTGAATTTTATTTTTGTTTTATTTATTTATTTTTTAACTAAACAACCGCTGACAAAAAAATCATCATGTTGCGGCGAAAGACTATCTCATATTAATTCCAGTGGTGGAGATAGAGGGGTACCTATTAATATTTTTATATAAAAAAAGTATAGCCGAATTGAAATTTTGCAAATGTTCTCGAAACATATGAAAGAGCATGTAATTTTACCCAGAAAAGGGTAAAGGGTCTTGTCCGAAGTCGGTAGGACGTGGCGTTTTCAAGAAAAAACGAAAATACTGTTTAGAAGTCAAATCATAATTTTTAAACATTTTGTTACAACTAAATTAAATAGTTAAAAAATTTGGTTAAAACTGTTTGTAATTAATAAAATGGGAATAAATAAAAAAATAAATAACGAAAATCATATTAAATCAAAGTAAATGTTCGAAATTTAAACCATTTTCTTCGATACATAACTGACACTGACGCTGGATAGAACGTCTCATTTGAATTCAGTTATTGTCTGTGATTTTTTTTTAATAGGGTACACACACACAATTAGAAACTGTAATAAGCGCAAATGTTAATATTAGAATGGCATTTCAAGTGTGATTTGACATCTAAACAGTATTTTCAGTTTTTCTTGAAAACGCCACGTCCTATCGACTTCGGACAAGAGGGCCTTTTCTGGGTAAAATTGCATGCTCTTTCATATTTTTCGAAAACATTTGCAAAATTTCAATTTGGCTATAATTTTTTTTATAAAAATATTAATGGACACCCCTGTATCTTCACCACTGGAATTAAGATGCGATGAATTTCTTTGTCAAATTATTTGCACTCCAATACTAAGTCATTCGCCGCAACATGACGATTTTTTTTGTCAGCGGTTATTTAGTTAAAAAATAAATAAATAAAACAAAAATAAAATTCAACGCCCTGTATCTCAGAAACGAAGCATTTTAAGACCCATAAATATATAAACTTTTAGTCTTAAAATGAGGTCTTCTAAAGCCTCCTGAAGTCCTGCTATTTAAACCTGAGACACCCTGTATATCATGGCAAAATTTAATAAAATTGTTGTCTTGTAACAATTAAAATTTGGGTTGTGAAATTATACTGAATCCGTTGTAATATACTTTCTCATGTTAATATTTATAATTTACGGTTTTCTGTGAAAAAATCGTACATCCTATCGCTTTTTAACTATACTCTGCGGTCGAAATTATAAAGAGTGACTAAGACATAATATAAAAACACTATTACCATAATGCGTATAAAATATAAAATGATTTTTATACGGTTCAATATTATTTATCTTTGTGCCGCTCGCTACGCACATCGATAGAATCTATAATCGTCTAGAGACCGAGTTACACTGAACATCGATCTATATTCTATCTCTGTCTTTTGCACTTGGTAGGGAATAGGGAAATGCTTTTTTAGTGGGTGTAAACGGACTTGATTTAACCCGTCCTGAGAAACGTCATAGCATAAGCGTAGACGAGGGGTCTAATTCCATGGCTATAATAAATTTATAAATTAAAAAAACACAATTGGGACGTTTTAAAATGATGTAATAATTAAAATGGATCAAAGTGCCTGTTATAGCAAACCGTAAAAAATATTAGATGTTATGTTTTATTATCTTTTTTCATTATTTTCTATATCTTGTTGCCTTTTACGCAGACACGCCAATGGATTTTCGTTCCCGGTACGCTTCATCCCCCTTACTAGTCCAAAAGCTAGCGATGAATCACTCTCTATAATTTCGACCGTGGAGTATAGTAGAGTAAATGTTGACATTTAACATATTTGTTCTAAAACTTTACCCCTCAAAACAAAGAAATTTATGAAGGAAAGTTAACTACCAAATAAAAATATGAACTATGAAAAATATGAAAAACTTGAAGCAGAAATGGTGCAATAGCACGAAAATTAAAGTCAGCGTCCAGAAGACGTTTTGCGTAAGAGAACTGGTTTAAGGATGTTTTGAGATTTCAATTCACATTTATTTTAACCGTTTCGATATAATACGCCCTAATCAGAACACTTACCAGCATAGGAATGTTAGGAACAACCACAACGTCATCTTCAGATCCCGCGGACTGAGATTCGTCAAAATAGTATATCTTCTCTTGGTTGAAGGATAAGGTACCATTTTCGTGGAAAGTTATGTTTTTCTTCTCCCATTTTTCACTAAAAAATAGATAGTATCATGACAAAATTTATCAAATCTTAGTGGATTGATTAAAAACAGTTTCCGCCAATCAGAAGAAATCGCATTTGCTTCGAAACAACGAATTTCGAACCTTATGTCCAATCGAATCAGAGTTTGAACGTAAAAAAATATGAGAAGTCATTTTATTGCACTTTATCAAAAAACCAACTCCAAAGAAGTAACTCTAAATTGGCAAATTGCAAATAAATAAATGGTAAAATTACGTGTTTTTTTTTTTCACTGGCCATGAAAATCTAGACGACCTATCGGAAAATTTGTGATTTTATGTTGAAGGCAATTAAATTACCTACAATTTAAGGTACCCCTAAAGTCATATTTCACCAATTTATTAACTGTAAAAGGAAAAGTTGGAATTAAGTTGCTCTTTACAACTTACAAAGTAGGATGTGCAAAACAGCGTTATAAATAAATTGTCAGGCAGAGGCCGCTCGGGAATTCGCTCTTTTTGCATTAAATAGAGCAACTTAATTTGAACTTTTTCATATTTTTCTTTTTCGATACGTTTCTTTGGATCAATTAGAACCTAAATCTATAATATTAACTTCTAATATTAACGTTTAATAAATTAAACAATTAGTTTTACAATAATGCTCAATTTTCGAAAACGGATTTTTCCGCGTTCGACCTTTATTTTACAGTTAACGAATTGGTGAAATATGACTGTAGGTAGCTTAAATTGTATGTAATTGTATTACCTACAACACAAAAAACGAATTTTCCGATAGGTCGTCTAGATTTTAATAGGCAGTAAAAAAGTGAAACAATACGTAATTTTGCCATTTATCTGCAACTTGCCAATTTAGCTTCTTCCGAGTTACTTTTTTTATTTATCATTACACATTCCCTCACCATCATAAAATGCAATTAACTACTAATTACTAATATTTTTTGTAAGTTTTCAAGGCTCATGATCTAATTCGACTAAACTATATATCGGAATGTGCATACTCCTGACTGTTAAAAACTGCTTTGGATTACTCTAGGAACAAAGCTATTATTACTTGGTGTTGATTCCGCAGAAACAGGTTCTTATTGTAATTAAAAAATATAACACTTTCTTTTGAGCAAGAGAACGATACTTTCTGCAGTGACAAGGGCAATAAAAACTTAAATTGCGGCATTTCTTCCGGGTCGCACACGTGTGACGATCATTAGCGTGCTATTTTTATCTTACTGATGAATTAATAAACCTTTACTGCCACGATGGCGGTGTAATAAAATTAATAGTGCACATTAACTACCGATGGGTCTCGATAGTATCATTATGGCAGTCAAAGGTCATTTTCTCGGACAACAATGGGTGAAAGCACTGTTGCTAGGTGTACGATGAAAGTAGTGTATTAAAATCGCGATGTACGAGGTACAGTCATTAGATAACAGGAATTGTATAATAAATTCTAATAAGAGCGCATACAGTAGTTGTAGTTGATCATTCTTTCAAGCCATATGTCAATATATTTCCAAGAAAAGGATGAGACTATGACTAATTCTCGATAAAGTTCATTCAAAGAGAATATTGCTACAAACACACAAATGTCACTCGCTTCACTGTAAATAAATCGGTCTAAGCAAAAAGCTTTTTAGGACAGGAAAAAGAGCTGGGAAATGACCATTTCGCGACTTTTAGTTTCAGCAAGCTGAATTTATCACTATAGATGCTGAATATTATGCACAGTAACATATTAGTTTCCACCGTCATAAAAATGGGGGGAAGATTGTTTACAGGCTGGTTAATTGAATAATTTTTACGTAAATTCACGTTTTTCGCTTATAACTTTTTCCGTTCATTTCCACGAGAAAACAGTAAAATACACTTTTTTTCGTCTTCAAAATACCTACAAAACTAGCCATCGAGCGTCAAAAAATATTGATTAGATCAAAAGTTATAAACAGAAGTTTATTTATGACTTTTGAATTAAACATTTATAAACTGCGTTATTATTACCAGAACGTTTTGGCATCGCATTCTCTTATTCCTTATCACTGTCTAATAACTCACACGAAATCTGGGGTAAGTTGTAGGAAATCGCATTTGCAACAACTTAAGTCTTTACCATTTTTGTTGTAATGATAAAAATGGCCGAGATATTGAGCAAAAACGATTTTTTTCTTAAATTCAAGATGGCGGCTGATGCGGGGGTGGAATTCAGTCGCGATACTGAATTTACACTACTATTGACCCCCCCTAAAGGTTAGAACAATAAAATTGTGGTCCCTATTTTTTTCCCGGTTAAATGACAACCCGACTGGGCTAGTAACCGAACAAAGATAATTGAGTCCCTTCAGGATGAAACAAGTTGTCGGCGTTTCAAAAAGAAATGACGATTTATAAATGTATGCAATGTTTATTATTTATTGACACAACATTATATCCAAAACCATAACGATGCGTACAAATTTAAAGGGTTCAGTTAAATTAACTTGGTTCGTAAAAGCTCATCGAAAGTGAAAATCCATTCCACTTTCTACAAAAATATCAGCACGGTCAGCGAACGATCTCTTTTTACACCGTCATCATACCACATGTTTCGTAAGAGAACGAAACTTGTTATATGTATAGGAACCGCTGGACCACTTGCATAACGTTCGCATAATACATATTTACTACTCATTTATTCGCAAATGCCTATGGGAAGACTTAATTGCCGAGAGAATATAGGAAATAGATGCGAGAAACGTGGCATGTTACGCAAGGATCGACAGACAGTGCCGTTGGTTACGTAGGGATTTATTTTTGTTGTATTGTTCTACGACTGCGGTTGTTTCGAAAGTGAAATTTCATATAGCAATAAAATTGTGCAGAAGGAGGCGGTGCTGATGAAAAGGGTCGCTTTAAATGAATAAACTCTACAGGGTGATCGTTAAGTACGTTCTAATAATAAAAGGGGTGACTCTTCAGTTGAATCTAAAAGAAAAAGTTTCTACGAACATTCTCCTAAAAAACCCAGTCCTTACTGTATAAAATTGACAAATAAAATTGACTGAACAAAATTGCGATGGAAAATAATTTTGTAAAATGAGTTTGGGTCATTTTATTTTAAAGTCACCATATCTTTTTAATGGTGACGCGGACAAAGTGCCAAACATTAAAAAAATAATCCAATGTTTAAAAATAGGACAACATTAAAATGTATAAATTTTTTCAACATATCTAGCAAATCAAAAATATCCGTTCCTGAAAATGCAACTAGTAATTATAGTGCATTAATTTATATTCAGAGTTTTTTAATTAACAACATTGTCCTTTATTATTCACCGACCACTTATCATACATACAACAATTTACTTCATCACGACTGTTACAAATCGTACACACTTCAAGGGAATCATAAATCTTATCGCGTTAACAAACGTTCAATCGCAATTTTTTTTCCTGTTAAGGGAATGGAAACAATGCGTGCCAGTCATTATATTATTAGTATTAGTAATGGCCTAGACATGCGATTAGCATACCAAATAACAGGTTGCCATGCCGATGGCAACGAAGACAATGGAAAAGCTACAATCGCTCTCCTGATAATGCGCTGTAAATTAAAAAAATTCGAAAAGCACGCCTTGGAAAACAAAATTACAAGTCCCCGAAATTGCCACTGTTAGCCACAATTGTATGACAGTGGTAATGGCAGTTTGTTTAAAAAATTCGGATTTGTCCAATTATATTTTTAAATTAGTCCGTATAATTCTCTCAAACATTTTTGAGGCCAAAAGGCCCTCTGAGCAACTCATACCTTCCATTATCTATCGAAATGCTATTTTCTCAATACCTTTAGAGTCAATTTGTATTTGATGCTGACTACTGTTTAAACTTAATGTAAAATACTGACACTTCTCTTTTATTCGAAATTGTATCCATTGTAATAGGAACGATGTATACGACTACATGTTCATATTTTGTTCAAGCATGAAATTTATTTATTTTATGACTTATTTGTAAATCTGTTAAGTTTAAGTTAATGTTGTTAGAGAGCGGATTAATATACTATTATAAATAAAACTAATAGGTTTTTATTAAAATTAGCAGTAAGTTATCAATCAACAAGTGTTCAAACATTCATTATTCTCGAAATTAACATTCAGTGACAATCTTCCTTTTTCTCCTGTTGTCTTCAAAGACGAGTACACAAATGCATTGTATTATATGCATAAATAAGATAACCTTTTTAGTTTTACATAGACCTCAAGAGATTGCCAAATTATCAGTTTTAGGGATAGATACTTACTAAAAGCTTTATCTTTGTCCTAAGATCCTGGCGCACCTAAATATTATAAAAATTAGCCTATATTCTTGTTTGCCTAAAAATAATTCGTATTTGTCTATTTTTAAATTTGTCAAAATCTGCCAAAAATTAATCTTATACTCTCATGTGTTGACACGACGTTGAAAATATTAATATGACATTCGGGTAGACTAAATACCTATTATGAAAACCTGATAGAACGAATGATGATTCTTTGGAAAGTTAAAGGCGCATTTTGGAGTCCAAACGGCACTCTAAAGAACTCATACCATTCCATTATTGAAAATGGTGTTTTCTCAATATCTTTAGAATTTTTTACGATTTTACTTTCACATAGAACGGATTTATTGAATCACATCAAAGGATTGCCAAATAGTTTAATCAAGAAATTGTACCCATCAAGAATTTATCTCGGCCGTTGTTTTAAGACCTTGCCGCGACTAAATCTTACACAAATTGGTCAATTCCCCTCCGAGTAATTAGCAAAATTACAAAATACTTTATTGTTGTATTACCCAGCTACAAAAAAAGTAGGAATTCTTGAAATTCTATTAGCCGCGCTAAGTGAAAGCGCTTAGTACTAGCCGCACTGGACTTACATTTACCAAGCGGCAATTGTAGAAAAGACACGGTTGCGCAATTCATATACAGGGTGAAACAGGGAACCTCACGATTTTCACCGGGGCAAAGTCGGGCTTTGTACTTAACTCGGCATAAAAGTTTTTAGTCCTACAGCACTAAGAGATATTCAACTAGTCATCCTTGGATTTTAACCTGATGGTACTAGACAATTGAATATGACATTTAATGGAAAAGAATGAAACATTTAAGTAGTTGTAAAAGACCAGACTATTAACCTTGAGAGGATAAATTAAGGTAATAAAAAAATAATATTTTATATAAATACTCAGAATAAATACAAGGTGGACTCTTGAGAGTGAGAAGCATATTAAATGAAACATCCTTTTGTTAAATATAAACGTTTTTTAATTGGCTTACATATGTCACCAGACAAACTCATACCAGTGGACATGGAAAAGATAATCGATCGCCCTGTATATCGCCGAGACGCAACGTTTTGCATAACAATGTGAAAGTTCCACGTATGGAGAAAGTGCAAGTACTCCAAGCACAAAGGTACCATTTGTTGGTACCCCTATTTGAAAACGGTTCGAAACATATCTCACACAGATATGTGAAAGATTTCATAATAACGGCGTTTCGTATTCAAAGTCTGTATGTGTTAATTTCATAGGTTTAATAATAGACTTGTATCCGGTATATTGTATCACCAAATATCAAGAATGCCTTGAGGTATTATAAGCACGTAAAAGATAATACAACTTCATTATATGAAAATCGAACAAATGATTGTTCCTGGATTCAAAAAGCAGTCTTGCACCTTTGGAAACTGCAAACAATGTTTTCTGGTCACACAGAAAGGTCGTCTTTAAAATATAAAGGCTATTTTTTAGAATTTAAAAGTTGTTTTTAAAATACAAAGATCTTAGAAATCAAAAGTTTAATTTTTAGAATCTAAAGGCTGTTTTTACATAAGAAGGCTTGCAGATTCCAAAGCCCTTGAACAAAAAAAGTTTTTTTTTTGTATTCCAAAAAGATTTTCCTTGACATATATGTAAACAATGTTTCTGTATTAAATGTTGTCTTTAAAATCTAAAGGTTATTTTTGGAATTTAGAGGTTGTCTTTACAAATAATGTTTTACAATTTTATCCAACACTGAAATGAAAGGCGTCAGTGTAGATATTAAAAATAAATTCCAAATTAGTACTATTTTTTAAATATAAAGGCTTTTTTGAATCTAAAGGCTATTTTTAAAATTTTTAGATTCTTTAAAAGGCTGTCTTCATAAACGCTGAATTCCATAGATTGCCTCTGAATTGCAAAGAATTTCTGCGAGTTGCAAAAACTTTTTTGGTTACAAAGAAATACTGCCTTTAAAGTCTGAAGGCATTTTTTTAATTTAAGGGCTGTTTTCGAAATATAAATGTCTTTGGATTCCAACAGCCACTGGAATGAAAGGCGTTTTTGCAAATTTAAAAAAAACTCGTGGTTCAAAAGAAATCCTGTCTTTCATATTTAAAGTCTACCTTTTGAAAACTAAAGGCTACCAATAGTGTCACTGAATTCCAAACACTGCCTCTAAACTAAAAAATGTCTATATGGATTCCAATATTCCTCTTAGATTGTAGGAAAAGCTTCTTAAGTATTTTAAAGTCTGTTATAGTAACTTTTCTTAACGAAAAGAAGTGTCTATAGATTCTAAAAAGTCTGATTCTGAAATTTTACATAAACGCTGGAATTTAGGGGCTACTTTTGGAGCTTAAGGCTATCTTTGAAATATAAATGATATCTTTGATTCCATACTGCCTTCGAATAGCAAAAAATCTTTATAGACTCCAAAACTGCTTTAATTTCTAATGAAAGATTTCCTTTTAAACTTTAGAACTAACTAAATCAGAATTTAAAGGCTGTTTCTGAAATTCATATAATTCATTTGATTTATAACTCTAAATTGAAAATAATATTTGTGTATTTCAAGATCTCTCAAATTCTAAATAAAGCCTCCCTTCGGAATTTAAGGGCTATTTTAGAAATTTAAAGGCTATTTTTGGAATATAAATAATATATATATTTCAAAGACTCATTTTAAATTTCAAAGGTTATATTTCAATTCCTACGACCGTCTTAGTTTCCAGAGAAAGGCTATCTTTGGAATTTAAAGGCTTTCTTTGAAATTCAAATAAATGTTGATTCTTATGGCTATTTTTAGAATATAATTGTCTTAGAATTAGAATTTAAAGGCTTTTTCTGAAATTCGTATAATTCATTCGATTACAAATGTGAATTGAAAATAATATTTCTGTATTTCAAGATCTCCCAAATTCTAAATAAAGACTCCCTTTGGAATTTAAGGGCTATTTTAGAAATTTAAAGGCTATTTTTGGAATATAAATAATATATATATTTCAAAGACTCATTTTAAATTTTAAAGGTTATATTTCAATTCCTAAGACTGTTTTAGTTTCCAGAGAAAGGTTATCTTTGGAATTTAAAGGCTTTCTTTGAAATTCAAATAAATTTTGGTTCTTATGGCTATTTTTAGAATATAAATATCTTAGAATTAGAATTTAAAGGCTTTTTCTGAAATTCGTATAATTCATTTGATTATAAATCTGAATTGAAAATAATATTTCTGTATTTCAAGATCTATCAAATTCTAAATACAGAGTCTCTTTGGAATTGATGGACTATTTTAGAAATTGAAAGGCTATAAATAATATTCTTATATTTGAAAGACTCATATTAAATTCAAAGCTTATATTTCAATTCCTAAGACTGTTTTAGTTTCCAAAGAAAGGCTATCTTCGGAATTTAAAGGCTTTCTTTGGAATACAAATAAATGTTGTTTCTTAAGGCTATTTTTGGATTATAAAGGCTGTCTCTGATCTTTGGTACTTACGTGTATACGTATGGACCGAGTTCGTCCACGATAGGTTTCGACCCGTTGTTGAGGAACTCATCAGCGTTGGTCACATTGTAGATGTAGATCCGTATTATCGGCGTCACAGGCGGCTTTGCCCACCACCCGAAGGCTTGCGTTCCATCTCGTAACGTCACTTCCTGCAACAAAAATATATTTGGAATGGAACAGTCTGATTTCGAGATCATCCTTTTACAGTAAGTTACATTATCAATGTTAGGCTCTCATTTTGAAAAGTTTCGGTCAATGATGACCTCTATTATTTCAAACATCCTGTACTCAAATAACCTGTTCTACCGATTAAATCGAACTCGTTTTAGGGTAGCGAAGCAGTGGCCATTGGATTTAATTATGAATAATGTCAAGGAACAGTGCTGCTGGTTTTGCGCAATATCCTTGGTAAAGAGTAACTTAAAAAAAACAGAACAAACAAAGCTAGCGGCCGAAACTTAACAGAACAGTTCCATTCGCGATTAATTGGATAATTGCTGGCATGAAAGGTGAGACTAAACGAATTTAGACTGTTACGCCTGACGATTCACGTTATACAGGGTGTATCGAGTGGGTGAAATTCCAGAGCTATTAAATCACATATTTGATGTTTTCATTTGATTTCGAGCTCCACTACAGGGTGTCCCGAAATTCATGCAACAAAATTTGGTCCTAGATTCTTAAGACAAATTTAGGGGACACGTATTTTTTCTTTTTGACAAATGGCCCCCTCTTTCGGAGTTACAGCCCCCTGAAATCTACCCCTAAGAAGTCTTTTTTATATCTGAAAATCATGTTGTACGAGAATCACTAAATTTGGTACACAGGGGTTTTATGACATGTGGAATCTCACAGTGCTATGCTTTTTGGCGAGAAACCCCCTTAAGACACTTTTTCGTGGGCCCCCTTGTCTTTGGAAGCAGAAAAATTTGGTCGTAAATTTGATTTTTTTTAAATTATTAGTTAGCTAGAAAGCCATTGAATTGAGAAAATTTTTTGTCTATTGATATTTGTTTCGTAAAACGCAATGTTTTTGAGGAAATTGGCGAATCACGATATGCATTCGATCACATTTTGACATTATTCTCGAAATTATTTACGAAAAAAGTATAAAGAGACAAAAAGTGTCTAAATTTAATGGCTTTCTAGTGGACTGATAATTTTTAAGAAATTTAAATATGCGACTAAATTTTTTTGGCTCCAAAGACAAGGGGGCCCACGAAAAATTGTCTTAAGGGGGCTCCCCGCCAAAAAACGTAGCACCATCAGATTCCACATGTCATAAACCCCTGTGTACCAAATTTAGTCATTCTCGTACAACAGGGTTCTGAGATATATAAAAAAGATTATTCTTAGGGGCGGATTTAAGGGGGCTGTAACTCCGAAAGAGGGGGCTACTTGGCAAAAATAAAAAATACGGGTCCCCTAAATTTGTCTTAAGAATCTGTGACCAAATTTTGTTGCATGAATTTCGGGACACCCTGTATAGAAAGGCAGCTTAGTTCGTCAATATTTGTGTTTCTTTAAAAAATTCTGATTTGTCTAATTACGAGTATATTTTTAAATTAGCCCTATTTATCAAAAATTAATCTTATACTTTCACTGTTTTACTGTTGAAATTGAAGATATTATTATGACATCCATGTAGACTAGATATCTATTATGTAAACCTAATAGAACATGCTACATGGTTCTTTGGAATGTCGAAAGAACATTTTTCAGACCAAAGGGCATTCTGAGAAACTCATAATGTCCATTATCTGTTGAAAATTATATTTCCTCAATGTCTTTAAGAATACAGTTCTATCTAATGATCTAATGTAAAATATTCATAGCTTCCTAATTTGTCCAAAACATCATTTATTTCTTTATTCAATTTTCTGTAATCTATCATAATTCTGAATTTTCTTTTCCTGCCGCTGTACGGAATCGGGAATGATTCATATAGGACATGACCATGTCTTGTTAAAGCATGGTAATTACTTGTTTTTTCGACTTTGTAAATCCATTATATTTTAATAAATGGTGTTAGAGAGAGTATATCTTAGAAATCAACTAGTGTTCAAACTTAACTTAACTTAAATCTCATTATTCTCGAAACCAGCATTAAGTGACAAACCTCCGTTCTGTGGTCTTCATTTGTTTTACAGACAAATAAAACACATTTCTAATTTTTTTTATAAAAATAGGTGCCTGAGATAACAGTTTACTTTTACGTAGGCCAAATTTGTTGAATGAAGCTATTTGTGTATTTTGGTGTAATATTTTCTACATGGAAAACATGCAAATACGGTTTTTAGAGGTATTTTCATTTTTTTATATAAAAAACGCAAAAAGGTCGTAAATGTTTACCAATAAATTTATTAGGAGTTGAAAAAAACTAGCTCTAAATTGGATAAGCAGCTATACAGAGTGTCACCTAACGAATGTTAGATACTTAAAGGGTATAATCTAGAACCCAAATGATGTCGATTTAACCAGACTTACTTAAACGGAAAATGTTGCGAAAGAAAGTTACATCGTGTTAAAGACTATTTTTTTTGTTTTTCTTTTAACTCACAACCCAGTTAACCAATTTGAGCAAAATTTACTGTTGATTAGTTTTTCTTCATGAAGTATGCAGTAATTATGTTCCTATTAGGTTAAATCATACAGGGCGTTCATTTTACTACAACCCTTTGTGAATATTCTTCTGTAACTTTTTTATACGTTTATTTTTTTACACGCAACTTTCAGAAATAGGTAGAGAATTTTATACACAAAACATGTATACTATCAAAAGTCGAAATTATGCTTGGTTATGTAAAAATGGTTGTAGTAAAATGAACGTCCTGTATGATTAAACCTAGTAAATCAAATCAAAATCAAATCAAATCATTTATTGGTGTCTATACATTAAAATGTTTACACAAGTCAAAGAATGAAGAACACGAAAGATACAACATATAAGAGACTTTATTCTTGAATTATAGGGAGTAGAAGGAACGAGAGAAAGGGGGTGTGTCTCTACTAAAACACATTAATCGGTATTCTTGAATGGTGTTCTATTGAGTAATGATAGAAGAATTGTTCACTATTTCTTCTACTGATATTTTCGGGGGAACAGGCAGGGGTCATTAAACCTAACCCTATATTTTTTGACACGTTTCACAAATTACGAATTCCGCAATCTGTCATATTCATATCTCTAGTTATTGTTTTGTGGTGATATCCTTCGAGAACTTTGAGGAAACGTTCGTATAATTTGTGTTTACCTGAGGGATTTTACAGTAGTCGAATAAAATAATAATAGAATCTACCTAAAATAGTATTAAAATATTTGTAAGTTCTTCCCAGTTAGCCATCATTGTCTCTCTAGTGTAGCTGGGTGTTAACATTCCAGTGTACATTCGTTTTTTACCCTCAATATAATATATTAGAAGTTCTTTTTGTTTAGAACTTACTGGATTTAGCTTCGGTTTTTTATTGATTTCTATTTTCTTTCCTTTTTAGACTGCACCTGACACTGACAATCAAATAACAATAATAAGTAGCACACTTATTTCATGACTAGCTCATCACTAGTTTTCATTCTACCGCCTATTTACTGCTTTGTGATTGGTCGGTACATTTGACAACATTGTTCCTCGTTTTTCACTTTCATGGCTCGATCCCCTTGTGTCGAGAATACAGTATGAATTTTGTGAGAGAACAGTAGTAGAGCGAAATGAGGGAATGTTCCCCAGGGAGCATTCTATTCTCTCACCGTCAAGAATTGAGCTCAAGCAATACTACACTAAAGCTAAAAAAAACACATTCAGATAAATATAACGTAAACAGCATAAAAAAGTGAATATTACGAACATACATTAAATATCATTACGAACATACATTAAATATCTAAAAACTGGTCAGTAAGGAACTCATCAAAATTGTAAAACGCTTTCCTCTTAAGATATTTTCTAACTCTGGCCTTAAAACAGTCTGAATTTAGTGATCGAATCTCAGATGGAAGTCTATTATAGAATTTAATGCAAAAATAATTTGTGCCATCTCTGGATTTCGCTAATCTATGAAATTTTAGGCCTAATATTGTGTCGCTCTCTTGTATGATGAAAATGAAAATTTTCTTGTCGAACAAATCTATTCTGATTATTTTTTATATAAATGAGACATTCAAATATGTAAACTGACGGCATTGTAAGAATATTTAGTAGTTTGAAGTGCTCCCGACAATCATCTCTGTATTTTATTCCAGCCATAATTCTAATACATTTACGTTGTAAACCAAAAATTTTATCACTGTGAGACGAATGACCCCAGTTCAATAATAATAGGAACATAATCACTGCATCCTTCATGAAGATAAACCAAGCAACAGCAAATGTTGCTCAATTCGGTTAACTGGGTTCTGAGTTAAGGAGAAAACAAACATACAAAAAGAAACTATTACTATTAACTAACTAAATTATACCCTTGAAGTATATAACATTCGTTAGGTGGCACCCTGTATACGATAAAAAGTTAGTTTCTGCCCTCTAAAATCGCATGGCATAGTAAAAACTAGAAGATTTATATTTACATGATGTAAATAGTTACAAATCATCAACCTGGAGCTACTTCATTACTAAAATAAAAAATAAACTGGTACTTACGTGGTTTATGACTAGTTTAACCCAACTCATGAAGAATATAACTACTATTATTCCGAATAGTAAGAATCCTATGGATACTGCAACCACGAACCCTGTAACAAAATAAGATATATTCTAGATAATTCCATCAGTATATCAACTGCCTAACATTTATTTTTTAAATACGCGTACAACCCCATGTTTTTTACACTAACGTCAAACTGACGTTTTGCCTGACGTTTACTTAAGGGGAATGGGCTTGTACTTCCAATAGACGATTTTTTTTAATAGTAAAAATAGTACACATGCTTAGAGGCTTAGGTACACACACAGATACCTTTTTTGTTAGGGTCTAACAGCTAGGAGGTTACAAAGTTTAATAAGTAAAAATAAATATATTACTTCAGAATTTTCATTTATTTTTTAGTATTGTTTGGTCACAAGACAATAATTGAGCACAAATAATAGTTATTTATGTACTAAGTCAGTAAAGTGATTCTTTATTGAACGAGCCTGAGATTATGAGCCGAGCGAGCGAAGCGAACGAGGCGAGTAACAGGCGATTTCGATAAAGATACTTTACTGACCGTAAAAATTTATAATTAAAAAAATGGAGATATTATATAACTTATCGCATTTTATTATAATGAAAGTAAACAGAAAAATAACAACAAATACAAACCAAATCTACATATTTTTTGTTAAATAGGTAATTAAAGGTAAACATACACTCTGACGCATTGTAAAAATTAATTCCTGTAGTCGAAGGAGTTTCGATTGAAAATATTTGAGGATTATTATCTGTATTAACAAATTGTAAATCTGTAGTAGAATTATTGGTAAAAAGTATGTTCTCAGTTTGACCTTCACTTAAAATCGTCTTTGCGATTTTCGTCTTGTTGAGCACAGATTCCTCAACATAGGATTCTGCAATCGTGTCGCTTTTCCACTCCCCGAAACATTTTAAACTTTCCTTACTGCCTCCTGTGTTTGTAAAGAGAGTGGCAGACTTACGACGAAAACAATGTCCCGTATAAAGTGATGGCATGGTTTTGGCAAATGCAGACAGTTGGCAATTTTGCTTGGTACGCTTTCAAAAGTATGGATTCCATCTGGCTGGACCGTGCGTTTACCATTTCTAGTCAGGAAAAATCGGTCGTGGGGCGTCTGTTTAGGTCGCAGAGCTAAATATTTGTTAAATAATTCTACACATTTTACTTTTCTTTCAAACACTGAAGTGATCACAAATATTCTTTGTTTTAGTTACATGAACAACCAGAATTTTCTATGTCACTTACTTTTAAATTCAAAAGTTCTCCATTACGTAAAGCCCCAGCAATGCCAAACATAACACAAATCTAAAATAATTTATATCATTTATATCAAATTATTTTTGAAAAGTTAGCAAAAATTACGTTCATCATCAAGTAGATTTTATGCGGTGCATTTATAAAAATTTAAATATTTCTTCTTGTGAAAGAGTTTTGGATTTTTTTGAAATATTATTTCTTCTTTTGTTTTAAAAAAGTTTTTTATATTTACTGATGTCAACGTCATTTTTTGCTGAAAGGGTTGCTTTCACCATGGAATAATGAGGCCACATTGAAGAAGGAGAATACTCTTTCGATAACTCGCAAAAATATGCTAATAAATCATTTTCATTATATTTTATCTGCTCCCACTATAATAAATAGACTATTATTACATTGTTTTTACGAAGGTAAGTGGATTTTACCATAGAAGTGGAAGTTGCTATGGACAACGGGGGGTAAGTGAGGTAACTTACCTCCCTAGGGAAAAAAGCGATATCGAGTTATAAATGCATATTTTATGAACAAATAAATAGAAATATTTGATGAGCAATACATTTTATTAATTGTTATGAATGAATATTTATAGTAATTGCACAGTTATTACATTTAGTTAACATTTATAAAGTCTGGATTATAATTCCCCTCGCGTTTACTAATTGTCACATTTTTCTCAAAATGATTTGACTGATCCATTAAAACAGCATGATGCGACATACTACTAGAACCTGGAGTTCAAGTGTCATTGTAAAGAATCCTGTTGGCTATATCATTTTTGTTATTTAAACTGGCAGCAACATAACTTTCTGCAGTAGTGGCTGATTTCCACCCACCATGTCTCTTGATTGCTAATACATCAACTCCTGTATTAGCCAGTAACGTTGCCGATGTTCTTCGGAATAAATGGCCGGTATATGTTTCAGGATGTTCTAATCATAGAAAGGGTATTCTTGCCGACTGGTTGGTTGTAACATCTACCTGCTTGATAGCGCATAAAAAAGCGTGGGATTTCAGTGTTAATTTCCAATCTAATTTTGATGTATTTATTAAGAATTTCTAGGTGAGAAACAGAACCCAGATGAGAAATAATTAATTGTAAACGTACGTGACATACTATTTTTAGAATCTGGATTTGCTACTACAATAATGTCATCGAAATTTTTGAAATTGACGTTGTCCAAAGTAAGTTTGCATAACTCATCAGAACGGCATGCTCCTGCAATGCCTAAGACCGTCACTACCTTAGCAAATATGTATTATCGGGTGCTTAACGAGAAAATCGTTGACCTGTTCTCTTGTAAAAACGTTTGACTTTTTAGGAGTATAGCCGTCATTCTTACGTTTCAAAAATGCTCTCAGTTTGGGGTATTTTGATATATCCACGTTTTCCTCTATGAAAATGTGACTTAATCATTGAGTATTCACTCCACAAACTCGCCGGTGACTTTAAAGTTCTTGACTTCTCCATGAAATATACTAGCAGTGACATTTCAGAAACACCAGTATTTTTGTTCTTCACCATTCTTTGAAATTTCTATATGCTCGTCCGTAGCGCACTTTCGGCTTCTCGGGCAATAAAAATTCGCAGTCAGCATTTGCTGCACTTTCTATTTGAAAGTCATTCATTTAGAAATAATAACTCAAAACCAGTAAAATTACAACTTTTATGTAGCTTTGTTTATAAACACCTTAGTAACAACAAAATCCAAACAACCTAGGCGACTTTCCAAGGTTTCGAATAATGTCAAAATGAACTGATTAAGAAATGTCAAAAAATAAAACCTAATATTTATTTCATGAACCATAAAGAACTGTGGGAGCGGTAGCAGATAAAATGTTATACACCACGCAGCAGTTAAGTGTAATTTACCTCCTTTATGGTGTAAATAACTATTGTTTACTTCCGGAAATCGCTATGGTAATGAAAGGCTCTATTCACGGTCGGCGGTAAAATAAATTTAAAAATACCTTAATAAATAAAGTAAGAGTAAAGGCTCTAGTATTGAACCTTAGGGGATCTCCTGCAGGTCATATTGTGATAGTGTGAAGGAAATAAAACTAAATACCATCTTCAGCGGGGGAATTATCAATATCAATATGTTATGTAAATTGTTACATGCTGATTAAGGGTTCTAACATTGATCCGTGAGGAATATCAAAGTGAATAATTCTCTGTATGGAATAAAGTCTTGGACAAAAGCTTGTGATTCATAAGGTTACCAATATTTTTTCTTAATACGTAAAGCAACTATTTCACCCAAAAACGCGATGCTGGAAATAACAACTCCAGCTACCCAAAGAACAAGAGGACCTTCTACATGTTCCATATCCAGTTTTATAAAACGCTCATTCACAGGATTCCTGAAATTGAACTTTTTTATTATGCTGGCCGATACGTCCCTATATTTTGCCATAAAACCGCGTTCACTTAGCGTATTGATCCAGTAGTTCATCACTTCTAGCAAAGGAAAACCCTTCCTGGCACCAGCAAGAAGAATCAAGTCGCCTACCTGAAAGAAATTAACATTTTCAGGGATGTTTGATAGCGAAAAACCATTCTGGACGTGTCTAGTATCAGACTGCGATACTAGATACTTCCTTGTCACTTCCACAAAAAAAGGATATCTTCTTCCAGTAACACCTACCGGATCATAATATACGACGTGTAACTGGTAAGGATCCTTGAAATGATGGAAATGAACCTGTGACAGTACTATTGCCACAGATTGGTTCTTCACGAAGTGCTCGATCAGGTCTACGTTTCTCCTATGTCCAGGAAAGACGATCCACTTCTTCCTGAGCGCCTCTTGGATGTCATCCACAGCGTACATTGTCCTCAGGCTGTTGTTGAAAGCTCTAATAACCTTTATGTCGGAGTTAAAAAGCAACTGGCGGATGGTATTGATTGGTGGAGTGTAACTAGGCCTCGTTAGGATACTGCTGAGCCTAGCCTGGAACGCGATGTTGAAACGCATCAGAAACAGGAGTAAGGTGATGAAGAATATTCTCGTTCTAGTAGTGGAAGGAGTTTTGTTTATGAAGAGTTGCACGGAGAGTTGGAATGTATTGAATATTGAGTCTCCTATCGATCGTTTTGTCAATAACTTCCAAATAAAGCACGATGTAACTAGTGAAGCTGTTAAACTGCAAAGAACACCCGTCGTGTACATGTTGACAACGTAGTTCTTCCTAAAGTAAGGTCTTCTTGAAGGCGCCAAGAAGTAAAAATTTTCCTGATAAAACCTTTGAGAGATCTCCAGGTTCTGATGCAAACTGTCACCATTAACGGCCCAATAGAGCACTAGGTCTATGTTACGATCCACCATGTCTTTTTCAAGCACCTCATATGTCCCAGTTTTGATGTGACTGTAAATGAAAGAGATTAAGCGAATATTTTTTTACGAACACGGCATTACCTTTTCACGAAATTGGTATTATTTTCCAAATACGTAACTGTTATGTTCATCTTTTTGGCCAAGGTGTTGAAGAACAAGAATATCGCTCCAGGGAAAGTCTCATTGAACGGGTCCCAGAAAAAAATATCCAGTTTGGTCCAAGTGACGTTTACAGGACATCCAGGTAAAATCCTTGGTACCTTGTTTATGAAAGGGTTCCATTTTCTGACCCTTACCAAGTGAACCTTGGTGCCGCATCTACTTTCATGGCTGTAAGGGTACCAAGTGTAGAACTTGTCCTTTTCGAAGTAAGCTACACTGTTGAATATTTTCCTTGTAAACAGAAGGCTGAAGCTTTTCTGGATTGTATTCTTCGAGGCGGGTTTTTGGAAAATCGTGAGGTAGCTT